TCTTTGCGGCTAATCAACCGCCACGAGAATGTATAGATTGCCACAAGATGACGGAAATGTCCCATGAAATCTATTCCCCAAACATCGAAGCGTTTGATGAGGATCTCGGAATCCCGAGCGATGCATCAAACTATGTCTTGGAGATAAAAGAACGCATGGAGCTAATGATAGCTTGGAGCGGGAGCATGGACGAAAGCTTGGAACCTACGAAACATGGAGCTCAACCGGATCGCATGGAGCTAGGCGCTCAACCGGAGAATGACGTCCCACCCGATCACAAGGAGATCATCATCCGAGATGAGTCACGAATGGCTGTACAAAATCCGAAGCATGCACACTTCTATTCTCGGCCCGAACTACCGTTAACTCGAGCCAAAGCACGTACTCTTCGACAACACGTCAAACATGTTCGTCTCATGCCTTAAACGAACCTTGAGTCGAATAATGCAAGCTTACCTTCCATCGGACCAGCCAAGACTCAACTCCTCTCCATCTCAAACCTTAATTTCAGCCAAGAATAGTCAAGACACAAAAGGGAAGCTTCTTGGAGTGCAAGCAACTTCTCCAACAGCTATATTCTTCCCACCTACCTTATTAAATGCATAGGCTCCCACCCCTCTTGCATGTTTAGCATTTAATCACAAAAGAGTTGTTGAAGTTTCTACTATTTATATGTGTTTTTCATATGTAAAACTCAGATTTGGTGAATGAAATTCGAGCTTATGCTTGAGACTTTGTTTGTTGAGAATTTTCTCCAAACTATCTTTCCGTTGGTGTGTCCGACGACGAGCTTCGGTGTGTCCGAGTTTTCTTTTCGGTTTGTCCGAATATTATCTATCTTTTACCCTTGTTTCGACTTTGGCTTGAGTTCGAGAGCCTTCATAGAAGTGCCGGTGATTGAGCCATCGTCCCGTAATTCCCCTTCGATTCCATCTATTTCCCAAGAGTGAATGCGAGCGCCTCCTTCACGAGTGCCGGTGATTGCAATTGGGCCATCTCTATACAACTCCGAAGCCGGTGCGTGTATCACAATCTCACTTTACAAATCATAAGCGGTCTCTAGTAAGAGATTATGATTACCCGTATCGGAAAGAGTTAGATGTGATCTAACCGAAAAGCTAGAGATAGCTCCAACGATGATCCTCTTTGTCTCACGATATCATAATCGAACTCACAGTTCGAATGCTTTGTCGTATCCCGAGTAGACTGTAAGAGATAGATGACATTCATCTATAGTGTGGCCACACATTTCTACAGTCTCACTCCTACGACGGGCCCAAGCGATATCTCTCTCTTTCGATAGGGACAAAGTTCCATCTTGACTATCTACTATCCATTACATGATTCGTAATATACCCGAGCCACGCCTTTATAATCGTCCGGTTAAAGACGACATTTGACACAGTCAAAGTACATTACTCGTCATGATGGATACAATAGATATCCCAGGTCTGAGGATCTAAAGTGAACCATCAAGTGAGATTCAAGTCATGGATTAAATCCAATCGACAATCTCACACGAGTCATCCAGTCACTTGTTCCAAACAAGTACTCATGATCGTGATCCGTATCCAATACACATGATCATCATCATGATCATCCACCACGCCTCATGTTAGTCTTAATTCATCATTGCTCCCACAATGACAAACGACTAAGGAATTTAGGATCGTTCTTAACGATCCATGGATATCATTATTTATCAAATATGCAAAATAAATAATGAACAAATAATGCATTCATCCAATAAATACATCGTATCATACATAGTTCTCATATCGTATGATCATCCTAGAGCATCATATCCATCAATGATGTCTTCTTTGTAGAATATAATCCCCGTGTCTACCCTCCGAGCTATCTTTGTGATGATTCCCCCAACGCATATTTTAACGTCCTTAGCCTTCGTGTTGGCCATGTTGTACAAATGGATTGCTACCCTTGATGCCAAATCCATGGGTGACCATCCCCCTCGCACACATCCATCGAGTGATAGCCCGTCATGAAATTCTTGAAGCGCCAAATAGAGATAACCCATCTCGAGCCTATGGATCTTATCCGGTTCGTCACGAGCAAATATGGAGTTAGACATGAATTGATGGGCGTATCTGATCGCCGGGTGCTGGATCCAAGAAATCTTGTCTGCAGAACTGGAATATTTTTGGATGGCTATTTTCTGCCAGAATTCTTGGAACACGTAGGCGGATGTCGTCGATATGAGCGAGTGTATTCCCTTGGGGACGCCTAGGATGTCCGCAAACTGGGACATGTTGAGCCGCACCCATTTTTTGTTCAACCGAAATTCCATGTAGGCGTCCTCAATGGAATTGTCCTCGGGGAAGTAGCAAGTGTAGGTCGCGAGGAACTCCCGATTGATGCTTCTAAAGATTGGTTCTGGACTTTTGTACAGTCTCTCCCAGCCCAATTTCTCAAAGATGTAGTCTACGTTCGCTTGAATTCCCAGCAGCCGAGTAGTGCGATCACATACGAACTTGCTTCCCCATTGTTTGATCGTGTTTAGATGTCGAGCTTTCGCATAGGCCTCGTCGTGCCTATCAATCTTCACGGGTTTCATCGGTCCCTCTATCAAATCGTCGGTTGGTGCCTCTAAAATCTCAGTGATTGTTCCGGATCGCATATCCCTCTTTTGAGAACCTTCTCGCTTTTGAGAGGAATTGGCATTTTCACTTGTTCGGGTTCTTTTTGGAGCCATCTGCATAGAATACACGGTAGGATTTGGGTCGTACGGGGTTAGGACTGAAAAGTGGAGATTGCGGGATTTGGACAGAGGTTTCGGGCGGGTCGCTCAAAATCCAAGCGGTCGCTCGGTATGCAAGCGACCGCTCGAGCGACCGCCTACTGCTTATCACCACGAAGTTTTTCGGTCGGAATCGAAATTTCCGGTCTAATCTCCCTAAGCCATGCAAATTTCGACTAACCCAAGCATAATATAGCCCTATTTCGACTAGATAAGCCCTAAATCTAAGATTTCGAAAGCAAAAGAAAAGTTAGGGCTTACATTAGAGAGAGAAGAGAGAGTTATCGCGAGAGAGAGAGCTTGCTTCCGGTGGTGGCGGTTTGGCGAGATGACGGACGGCGGTGAGGGCTCGGGTGGTGGTGGCGATTCGACCGAAGGGAGAGGGAGAAGGGAAAGAGAGGGAGAGGAGTGTGTCGACCGAAGGGGGAGTGAGAGGGAGAAGTTTCGATACCCTCTCTCCCTTTTTTTTTCCTCTGTAAATTTTTTTTTCTAACGGGCGGTCGCTCATTTTGTGGGCGACCGCTCGTTCTTTTTTAACACAGACGAGCGGGTCGCCCAAAAATTGAGCGACCGCTCGTTCTCCATGTTTCGGTGCTGAACGAGTTTTTTCTCGCACTCATGATTTATCTGATAAAAGAGGTTGTTACGAGGGGATTTTGGAGGCTTGATTAAGAAAGGGAAAAAGAAATAAAGAGGTTGAAGAATGTACATCCGGTATGAACCGGGTTGCTAGTTAAGGTCATAGTTAGACCGAAATGCGGCTCAATCAATTAAAGAGAGGGAGAATACAGAGGCACCTCCTTCTGGTCTAATACTCCCTGGAGTGTATGGCTTGAGTCTTTGAGTGTTGACCCTGAAAGTTCCGCCTTTTCTGTTGTCGAGTTCTACCGCTCCATGAGAGGTGACGTTCTTTATGATGAATGATCCCGACCACCTTGATTTCAGTTTTCCTGGAAAAAGTTTTAGTCGAGAATTAAATAAAATAACGAGGTCACCTTGTTGGAAGTTTCGATTGAGGATGTGCCGGTCGTACCACTTCTGGGTCCGCTCCTTGTAAATCTGCGCGTTTTCATATGCGTCCAAGCGAATTTCCTCTAGGTGATGGAGCTCCAGGACTCGTTTTTTCACTGCGGTTTTCCAGTCGTAGTTCAACCCTTAATCGCCCAATATGCCTTATGCTCCAACTCAACCGGTAGGTGGCAAGCTTTCCCATACACTAGTTGAAATGGAGTCATCCCGATAGGCGTCTTGAACGCCGTTCTATAGGCCCAAACCGCATCCTCAAGCTTCAAATCAAAGCCCAGTCCTTTCTTGACTTGGCCACTGTTTTCTCCAAAATTTGTTTGATCTCCCGGTTAGAGACTTCCACTTGACCGCTCACTGCTCGTTTGGGGATGGTAGGGGGCTACTCTATGGTGAACACCATATTTAGTCAATATGCCCTGAATCACTCTATTAACAAAGTATGCCCCTCCATCAGTTATCACCACTCTTGGGACTCCAAATTGAAGAAATATAACCCTTTTGAACATCCGTGACACAGTGCTTGAATCATTCTTCGGACTAGCAAGTACCTCCACCCATTTCGTCACATAGTCAACTGCCACGAGAATGTATAGGTTACCGCAAGATGATGGAAATGACCCCATAAAATCTATTCCCCAGACGTCAAATGGTTCCACTTCCAATATAAAGTTCTGCGGTGCTTCATTTCTCCGCGAGATGTTGCCCGTTCTTTGACAAGCATTGCATGAACTAAGTGTGCACATCCTTGAACAATGTTGACCAATAGAAACCTTCTTGTAGGATCTTTGCAGCTGTCTTGGCCGAGGCAAAATGCCCTGCGTAGTCTGACGCATGGCAGTGATGTATCACTTGCTTCACTTCCTCTTCTGGAATGCATCTTCGAAATAATCCTTCCTTGCCTCTCTTAAACAAGAAAGGTTCATCCCAGAAGTAGTCTCTAACATCGTGGAAGAACTTTTTCTTCCCGTTGTAGCTTAACTCCGGAGGTACCACCTTGGCAACCAAATAGTTGACGTAATCCGCATACCAAGGGGTCACGTTCTTGATCTCCAAGGATAAGATGTGTTCTTCCCTTAGTGAATCGTCGATTGGTATAGCTTCGGGTATCTCCAATCTCGATAGATGATCCGCCACTGTATTCTCCGTTCCTTTCCTATCGCGGATCTCTAGATCAAACTCTTGCAGAAGCAATACCCATCGGATCAACCTTGGTTTAGCATCATTCTTCGTGAGCAAGTACCTCAAGGCGGCGTGATCTGTGTAGACGATGACCTTAGAACCCACCAAGTATGACCTAAATTTCTCGAAGGCAAATACTACAGCGAGGAGCTCCTTCTCCGTGGTGGAGTAGTTCATTTGAGCGTCATCGAGCGTCCGACTTGCATAGTATACGACATAATGCTTTCCATCTTTCTTTTGTCCCAATAGGCTCCGACTGCAAAGTCGCTAGCATCACACATTAATTCAAAAGGAATACTCCAATCCGGGGGTTGAATGATCGGAGGTGATACTAATGCCTTCTTCAATATTCCAAATGCCTTGTGGCACTCCTCATTAAACTCAAATGGGATGTCCTTGCCCAAAAGCGCAGTCATAGGTCTTGCTATCTTCGAAAAGTCTTTGATGAATCTCCTATAAAATCCGGCGTGACCTAAGAAACTTCGGATCCCTTTAACGTTGGTCGGTGGTGGTAGCTTCTCAATCACTTCCACTTTCGCTCTATCCACTTATATTCCCTTGTTCGAAATTCGATGACCAAGTACAATACCCTCTCGCACCATGAAGTGACATTTCTCCCAATTCAAAACCAAATTCGCCTTGAGACACCTGTCTAACACTCGATGGAGATTGGTTAAACACGCATCAAAGGAGGGTCCATGGACAGAAAAGTCGTCCATGAACACCTCCATAATATCTTCAATGACATCGGAGAAAATAGCCATCATGCATCTTTGAAAAGTTGCGGGTGCATTGCATAATCCAAATGGTATGCGTCTATATGCGAAAGTGCCGTAAGGGCAAGTGAATGTTATTTTCTCTTGGTCACTCGGATGGATAGGAATTTGAAAAAAATCGGAGTAACCATCGAGAAAACAAAAATAAGAATGCAGTGCAAGTCTCTCTAACATTTGATCAATGAATGGAAGGGGGAAATGATCTTTACGGGTGTTTGTGTTCAGTTTCCGATAATCAATGTACATTCTCCATCCCGTAACGGTTCTAGTCGGTATGAGTTCATTGTTTTCATTGTGAACGACTGTGATTCCTCCCTTCTTAGGTATGACTTGCACTGGGCTAACCCAAGAGCTATCCGAAATCGGGTAAATGATACCCGCATCTAACAATTTCAAGACCTCTTTCTTGACCACTTCTTTCATGTTCGGGTTTAGCCTACGTTGATGTTCGATTGATGATTTAGTATCATCCTCTAAATGTATGCGATGCATGCAAAGAGAGGGGCTAAGACCCTTGATGTCTCCAAGAGTGTAACCTAGGACTTCCCTGTATTGCCTAAGCAACTTGGTGAGTTTTTCTACTTGATCCTCATCTAATGCATCATTAGCGATAACGGGATAAGTAGAATTTGAACCAAGGAAGACATACCTAAGCCCTTGGGGTAAGGGCTTTAGTTCCACTTGTGGAGCATGCTCGGGGTCCCAATCGGTGTATGATTTCTCTTTTGAGCCTTGAGATGAGTCAAGTACAGTGTCTCTCCAGATGGAAACAGGCGGGTCGCCCATTTTTCGGGCGAGTCGCCCACCTCTGCAGCGTTTGGATCATTTTTGCTCAGAGAAAACGAGCGGGTTGCCCATTTTAACGGGTGGTCGCTCGCTTTACAGTGTCTGGGTCGAAACTCCTCAGAGAATTCAGGCGGGTCGCCCGTTTTTTACACAGGGTCGCCCATTTTTGGTCCACGTCGCTTGAGTCAACAGTGGTTCTGCTCAGACAAAATGGGCGGGTCGCCCACTCCTGCAGAAATTGCTTTTTCGACTTCTTGACCGTTCAATGCTCGTTTTATCTCCTCAATCTCCTCCCAATTGCTGTATAGACTTGCTTCTACGACCATTAGTGACACTTCTAGCGGCTCTACCTCACGGAACTCTCCAATCACTTCTTCCGCCATTGCTTCAAGTATATCCGCATAACATACCGTATCATTGGTCGAGGGTTGCTTCAAATTCTGATCAAGCGTGAATGCGCCTTTCTCATCCCCGATCTTCATCGTTAATCTACCGGCTCGGACATGAACTACGGCATCCGCTGTGCTCAAGAATGGTCGGCCCAAAATGATTGGAACTTTGGAATCCTCATCCATGTCTCGCACTACAAAATCCACTAGTACATAGAATCCGCCAATCTTGAGGGGTACGTCTTCTAAAATCCCTGCTGGATACTTGATATTTCTGTCCGCTAGTTGTAAGGCCATCCTCGTGGGTTTCAAGTCA